AGGTAACGAGGTTATAAAGGACCATGATGACATTATTAGAACTTAGAAATTGCAATCTTGGTGTGTCTGTCTGGTCCCGTGTTCGGCTCGGCTTGGTACCTCACAATTGCTCCAGCTACATAGCGGTAAGCATCGTTATGTTGTTTCATGTAGAGCCTGATTCTGTGAAATTGTATGTTGTATGGCCAATCTGAACCACCAGTCAAGCACAATTTATAGTTTTTGTTATCCCTTCAGGAATGGCCTCCACAAATCTTTGGTTGTGTTGTTGTTTTGTGGAAACCCCAGTCAAATTTACCTTCAGGGATGTTCCCCTGACATTTCAGCGCAAGACTGGAGGTGACATTTTTTGGTTTCGGAGAACTGCAACAGGTCCTCTTGAAGTTGCTGTTGTGCTGGGAGTTGGCGGTGAGTGCAAATGTTAAGTTGTGTGGAATGCTTAGTATACTTGTGGGTTTACCCTCAAGTGTGTATTTGCTGATTAAGGTATTTTCCTGATGTAAGTGCTAATAACATTAATATACGAGGTCATCACAGACATCTAGTTGTGATAACGCCAAAAGTTCTGAGGGACAGTTCATTTTACTGTTCATGCGCACACTGGTACAAACACATGCTCCCTGAAAGTTGAATCTTTATTAATATGACCATCTCTTTTTACAGTTACCAAACATGAAGCAAAAGTTAAGGCTAATAACTACTTCAGGAGAATTGGCAGAATTCATGGTTTTGAAGACTCGTTACCAGTTCTAGAGTTTGAATGCACACAAGAAACTCAATGTAAGTTCTTTCTGTAATTTGCTTTTCTCACTGATATGTTATTGTGATCATTATTTTCACCATTATGCGTTCTTGTTATATTTCAGTTTCTGAAGATTTGTAACTTGGCTTTTATTGGCTTTTATTGACTTTTATGTATCTAAATGTAAATCTCGAAGTATCGCGTCCCAATTGAAGTGATATGACCTTTCAAAAAAGTAAGCTAACTGATGTTTTGTATTTCATTGTTGAATCTGTTCATGAACATTGTCAAGAGAATTTTAATGCTCGATTTGAATGCGAATATATCTTTCCTATGTTTTTAATTGTATGCGGTCTTCCATTCTATAATGTGCCTTTCATGTCCCAATACATCAAGTTAAGTTAGCCACAAGCAACAGACGTATGAAATTTTCAATTTGGCAAAAGCTCCTTGTCTCTCTAATATAACACAAATTTGCAATAGATTCTTCAGAAAATAAGGAATCTTGACATCTGCAAGCGGCAATACTGACAAGATAGACTTAGATAAGAATTTAATGATGCACAGCTATAATGCTAAGAATTAGTTTGATGTTCAGAGTGCAGGTGCCATAAGCATTATAAAGAAGAGCTATTTTAACAAAATACCTTCACAAATGCACTATTTTTCCTTAACCATGGCTATGGCTTTTCTTAATCTTTTCACGATCTTTAATCAACAATTCCTTGGGATAAACTTATCCCCAATAACACTAGAGCCCTTGGCTAGAAAATGTTCAATATCTGTCCAATAAGGTGCCAGATTTCATATTGGTTCCTAAGCCAAGTCATTCTGATCACTCATGTGGTTGGGAATAAGCAATAGGCTACAAGGAGTAGATCAAGTTTATAGTAAGTCTGATTTTGTATAAGTCAGTAACATTTTCTTCAGAATGTATGTTTATTGAGTGATTTTACGATACAGAAGTTCAGTCAGTTTTAGATTTTAAAAGAAACATGCCAGATTACTTGAAACAACCTATATTCGAGAGAAATGCAGATGTAACTAATATGATTTACAAAATAGCAAATAGTTATCTTTCAACTTAAAAACAAATAATTAGTTCACACATTTCACTACAAAAATTCAAAGGTAAAAATATTGATAAATAAATACATGAATAAATACCACAGAAAAGTGGACAGTCCATAACAAATAAAAGATTAAAAATAGGAATGGCACCTATACTTAGGCTGGTCTACAAACAATAGCATGTTTTAACTTAACATAAGAACCCAAGTAAACTTTGTGAGGAAAGTATGTCAGCAGCTGGTCTGGTTTCACACAAGTAAAATATTGTGGTATTCCTACACGGCACAATCTTTTTTTAATATCATAACTCGTCTCCAATTTTTCACAAACAAAATATACAGTGTCTTGCGAACAATCATATAGAATGATGGAAACTCTTCCCAGAGAAAGTTTGCAATCATAACTGTCTTGGTCAAGAACAAGAATATCAGACTTCTTGTATATTGTTCCTTTAATAATAGCAATCTCACACTGTTGCAAGTCTGACACATTTGGGCAAACACCACGAATTACATTCTGAATACTTGCAGCATATGTCTGTAGGCAAAGATCCGAAGCACCAAACACTTCAACCAAAGCTCTGAAATCAGCTCCACTCCGGAGGTAGCACTGCAGCAACTCATGCTTCATGGTGAGAGACAGCAAAATATTCTTGAAGTTACGGATGACACGTGCAACTCTCCTAAAAAAGGTATGCTTGGATTCAAATCGTAACGTCCAAACTTTTAACATTGGCCCAAACATGGCGAACTGCCAGGCATAGTGGGAAAGGTAATGATGCTTAGGTCTTAAATTGACATGAGGAAAGAGTTCCACTCTCATGGTGAGATATTCATCTATGATGGTATGAAGATATGGGAGATGGCTCTCATGAATCACTGGTGAACAAGAGATTTCAAAAATTTCTGTCAACAGAATCAATGCTCTGAAAACTTCATTGTCCTCATCTATATGATCAAAAACGATCAAAGGAAATAATCTCAACAATGTCCAAACTTGCCACGCTCCACCCTTGATTCTAACAGAGTCTTCTTGAACAGGGATGGGTCTATCTTTGATGTCTTTAGAACAATAAGGAAATGATGAAATAGCTTCATTCAGCTCATGATATGTAAACCATTCTGCTTCATTTACAAAGAATTTGATAAAAAGAAATAAGTCAAAAGCCACTAGCCCTTCAGCCAAGTCATGCCCTAAGCAAGAAGGAAGCCCAGGCTGGCACACATGGAATGCTTTAAGTTGATTGAACACAGAATCAAACTTCACGCCTTTATAGTTTTTCTTGTCTCTTGAACGAGATGCCATATGAACACAAAAGTTGTAAGATGCAACATTACGCAGATCAAAGCGGGCACTCTCACCATCAACTCCAAGGAAAGTATTCCTGTCACAAAAACAAAAGCGACAAAAATACACAGCTTTGCTGAAATTTTCCACAAATCCACCAAGACCGTGACTGCCAAGGTTGTCCCCAGTAACACAAACAAGCCCAACTTTCACAAATCTTCCATCAGGTAGTTTGAGTCCTCGTTCTTCTAATAATTTTAGATCTTTAACAATTCTTCCATAAACAATTTGATGATCAAAATGTTTTTCCTTACATAGAGCCACTAACTTGATAGAGTTAATGTGTGACCGAAGATGGTCAGGTAAGTTCAAGATAGAAAGATAAATAGCTAATAGTTTGTGGATACGTTTGGCCGAGCCAATTGCATTGACAATTTCAACTCCATCTTGATAGATTATTATCTTGATACACACGGGATTTTCTTGGAAAAATGTGTTATCTTTAAAAGCTTTTCCCATCAGTGACGTCAGTCAACAACCCATCAGTTCTTGATAGAGGTGGTTTTAAATCCAAGTTTAAGGACTTATCTTTAGTGAATGAATATTGAAGAGTCTTTTCAATATCCACATAATAAAAGAATGTTTTAACATTGCTGGTAATGCCTTTCTTGGTAATAGTCTTGACATATTCAATTTTTTCAGGATTGACAAAATGAAATGCCTTCTTATAGAAGTTTTTACGTTTATAAGGAGTCTTCCAATTTTGATCATACTGCTTTGTAAATGGGTCATTAGCAAATGCATACTTAACAATGCGATTTACTTTGTCAATCGAGATGTTTTCAGACTGCAAAGTCTTCATTAACTCACTTCGATAAAACTCTTTGCTCTGAGATTGTATCTTAAATATTTCATCAACTAAAAATTGAACAGTCTTTTCAGGTACAAGGAAATGGAATTCCAACTTCATACAGAACTGAGCAACACTCTTCATAAGGCAATCATCTTCATCTTCATTTTGATCTTCAAACAGGGGATCAGTGTCAGTAACAGTAGATTCTGAGAACAAATCTTCCTCTTCATTACTAAAATTATTCTCAACTGCTCCTGCTTCAACCTCAGGAGTGACAGATGGTTTAGCACGATGTTTTTTAGATAGATGACCAGTGAATGAACCGAGATGGTTATATTCTTTAGAGCATGGATGATGAGGGCACTTGACAAAAACTTTCATGCGTATATGAGTCTTCAAATGTTTCAGCAGTTCAGGAAAACACTCAAACTCCTTTCTGCATGTTAACACAGAACAAAGGTATTTACCAAAATTATTTGGTGCTGGTGTTGAAGCTGAAGGTTGTGAATTCCTGACTTTGAGGTGATGGACACGAAGAGTGTGGAGTCTGAGCAGACGCTCTGTAGATAAAACACTTCGGCAGTCAGGGTAATAGCCACAGTAAAATCTGTGTCTATTAATGTGACGATGGTGATAATGGTGGCTGAGATGTTCCGTGAAGTTAGTCGTTGAGAACGTACAAAAAAAGCAGCGCAACTGGGCAGCTGTATAAACCAAACAAAAAAAAATTAAAATAGGTTATACAGCATGTGCCTTGCCAATCACAGTAAGCTCAGTCAAGTGTTGTAACGTCAGGAAAATAAATAATTCAATGAACTTACACATGGTAATAGGCACACTGCTGGGCGTCTCTCTCCATGCAGCATAGTTAACATCAACACTGAAACCAAGAAGTAGAAATGAGTAACAAAGTTATTAATAATAGAGCAATAGCTGACAACAAAACACGTCGCAGGCGCTATCATTGTTATCATTTATGTATTGAAACGTTATTTCATTGAGGGGAGACCTAAACACTCACCACGTCTGCAGGATCACAATCCCGTACAGCATCAGTTGGAAACCCATGAGTTTCTGCCACGCATCGCCCGATTACGATGAACTGCAATACCAGACAAAGATGATACGAATAAGAAGAGGTCCATACAAAAGCACAGTTTGATCACATTTTTAGACTCACTTCATTATCACGACCGCATGGAGACAAGCCCTCCCTGCGCCGGGACACCGCGCAAGACAGCACGCACGCCGACAGCTCACAGACTGCGAAAGCGACTTCCCCCCCCTGCTTCCCCCTCGCCTGACCGAAATTTTCATACCGAAAGAGACACGGACGGAATGGGGGCTCATGGCGCCATCAGAGCAGAATTTGAACACTGTCGGCAACACATTTTAGCATCCATGTTGCGAAATTTCGTAAGTGGTTACACAAATTTGTTGCGGGTGCAAGACTTTGTATAAAATTATAAGAAATAACATCAGGTTTACGATAAAGAGCAACAATGTTACAAATATTTGGTTCAGTTACAAAACTTTGTAACGGTTACAAAAACCTGCATCCACATTATAACAGTTTGTACTGCAGTTATAATTTTTTGTAACAATTACAAAATTTTGTCACAGCATTACAAATTTTTGCTACGGCATCCAAGGTTACAAAATTTTGTTCCAAAATTGATATTAGAACTTGTAACTTTTTTTAGAGTGT